CGATTTTTGAGCTACCTTAACTAACTATATTTTCTGACTCCCAGGCCTTTACCCTTTCTGGTATGCTATTTAGTATCGTGAAATTCATAATAGTTATCGCGAAATCGGCAAATGAAAATGATGCAAAAACAGACATTCAAATACACCCGCCCTTTTTAGGGCCGTGACGTCAGTGGAAGTTCAGCTTGCCAGTCGGGCGAGCAGTCTAAAAAATAGAATATGCCAATCATTTGTTCCGTGCTGGAGCGCGGGGACTGGAGCGAGCTTCCAAGGCATTCATTTGACACCATGAGACTGCTTCAAATCAGTTGGGAACAAATTCTACAGTCCAAAGAGTGAACCTCTGCACTTCCAATGACGTCACTTTTTTATTGTTGCCAGTAGAGACTTTCAGTTTGAAAAACACGGTGAGGACCAAAATTGTAAATTCAATAACTTCGCGAAAAAAATTATTTTGACCTAATATTCGGGATACTATTTTGGCGATGTTGTTTGGCGAGTTTAGCAAAATTTCAAGCAAATCGGGGACCATGAAGAAATCGGCGGAGTACCCCTTTAAAGGCCCGTTCACACTCTCGCGACCGAGTGCGACCGAGTACGACTGAGAGAGACGAGTTCTCTTAAAACTTGTTAAATGTTTTTAAAATGAGGGAACAAACTGGCATTGTGGCGCCATCTATGCGGTGACCCTGGAACTGCATTTCACGAGAGCGAAGGTTTTGCGGGATTTCCGAGGTCAAATGTGCGTAATACCCATAGAAAGGCTCGTTTATAACATTGACAAAAGTTTTTCGAGCCAAGAAAGAAAGGATAATGCGCGAGAAATAAAAAAAATATATGCCGGACCGCCAAGTTTACACTGCTTCTTAATAGATGGCGCCAGTGTGTTTTCTGGTTTAAGAAGTTGTAAGGAACCTAGGTTTAAGAGGTCGCAAGAGTGTGAACGGGCCTTTAAGGCCCGTTCACACTCTTGCGACCGAGTACGACTGAGAGAGACGAGATCTCTTAAAACTTCTTAAATGTTTTTAGAATGAGGGAACACACTGGTATTGTGGCGCCATCTATGCGGTGACCCTGGAACTGCATTTCACAAGAGCGAAGCTTTTACGGGACTTCCGAGGTCAAATGTGCGTAATACCCATAGAAAGGCTCGTTTATAACATTGACAAAAGTTTTTCGAGCCAAGAAAGGAAGGATAATGCGCAAGAAATAAAAAAAAATATGCCGGACCGCCGAGTTTACACTGCTTCCTAATAAATGGCGCCAGTGTGTTCTATGGTTTAAGAAGTTTTAAGGCCCGTTCACACTCTTGCGACTGCTTGCGACCTCTTAAACCTGGGTTCCTTAAAACTTCTTAAACCAGAGAACACACTGGCGCCATCTATTGGGAAGCAGTGTAAACTCGGCGGTCCGGCATATTTTTTTTTATTTCTCGCGCAATATCCTTTCTTTTTTGGCTCAAAAAGCTTTTGTCAATGTTATAAACGAGCCTTTCTATGGGTATTACGCACATTTGACCTCGGAAATCCCGCAAAACCTTCGCTTTTGTGAAATGCAGTTCTAGGGTCACCGCATAGATGGCGCCACAATGTCAGTGTGTTCCCTCATTCTAGAAACATTTAAGAAGTTGTAAGAGATCTCGTCTCTCTCAGTCGTACTCGGTCGCAAGAGTGTGAACGGGCCTTTAAGGAACCCAGGTTTAAGAGGTCGCAAGAGTGTGAACGGGCCTTTACTCGAATGGATCAGAGGCAACGCTGGATGCGGGTAGGTTTTTGAACTTACCCTGAGTGGAGACAGAGTAAATTTTGAAACATAGCTGCAAATAGTCCGCTGGATGAGATGCAAAATTTTCGGCACCTACTGCTATTTTATTAAGAAGTCATCAAATTCCGGAGGTAATGACCCGACATCACCGACACCCCCCCCCCCCCCCCCCCCCCCACCCCACTTCCCACTCATCGAAAATTCCCCCAAAATTGCTTAATTTTGAATTCCAAAGCTTCAATTTTTGAAACTGTGCCCAGTCAGTGTTTTCAGCAATTCATAGTTTAGTTTTGAGATGCTTAAAACGCACTTAACTTTCCTCGCGGATACCCAACAACTTCCGAACTGATAGCTGCCCGGAAAATTTTCTTCTCTAAAGCTATACATTCACGCTCGTATCGTTCACTGAAGATCAAGCAACGAGTGTCTCAGCAGATCTAACAATCCGAAACCCCCAAACTGCAGCGCAGCAAGGACAAAGAAAATTTCTTACCTTGCTCCCGTAAACGTTTGTTGCCAATCCTTCGCGCTCTAACAAGCTGGCAGGTCAAATGAAGTAATTATCACCGCACAATTGAGCACTCTGCAGCAGTAAAACACAAAAAAGAACTTTCTTGAATCATTGCCATAACCATGCTACGAATGCCGTGCACGCCATCGGCGCCATGTGCTTCATGCTTCCACCGTCCTCGCGGCGCCATCTTTGCCGCCCAGTGTACACCGACGCTAACGAATTTTTTTTTTCTTTTTTTTTTTCGTTTTTTTTTTATTAAATAGCGTACGAATTTTTTTCCCCTTTTCAAATTGCGATGTTGAAAAAATTTATTGCAACGCAATACTGAAAAAAAAATAATAAATTGCGATCTTTGGAAACTTGAAAATTGGAAACATCGAAAACATAAAGTTGGAAACATTGAATCCAATTAGAGTGACCAATTAGGTGACCCAGTGCCAACTGAATTTTATTGATCCTAATTGGGATAACCAGTTGGAAACATTGAATACAATTGAGTGACCAATTAGGTGGCCCAGTGTCAACTGACTTTTATTGCTCCCAATTGGGATAAGCAGTTGGAAACATTGAATCCAATTAGTGACCAATTAGGTGATCCAGTGCCAACTGCATTTTGTTGGTACTAATTGGGGTAACCGTTGGAGACATTGAATCCAATTAGAGTGACCAATTAGGTGGCCCAGTGCCAATTGAATTTTGTTGGTCCTAATTGGTGTGACCAATTGGAAACATTGAAACTAATTAGAATGACCAGTTGGATGACCCAGAACCAATTGAATTCCATTGACTCCAATTGGTTCCAATTGAATATCCTAATTGGAGTCAATGGTTATTTTTAACTGGGTATCAACCCCCCAAAAAGTATGGTTTCTTTGCAGAACCCTTAGAGGTAGTGACGGGTGAGAGGTTGGAGTCCAAAGTGAGAAGTACGTGAGAGGCAGGTCTTCCAGTGGTTTGAAGCCGCTCAAGCGAAGCCAACGCTGCTGGTGTACAGTAGAAACAAGCAGCTGATCGCGGCTGAAACCCTGCTCTATGACAACAGCTTGGGCAGCCGCCTTCTGTTCTGGCGCTCTACGAACTCTGGTATACCGGGAGCGGGTTGACCCCCAGGTGGTTCCCACGATGTGCCGCGCGTGCAAAGAACCTGAGACAGTTGAACACCTAGTGCTCTACTGTGGGTGCCTGCTGCCAACCCCACTGGTAGATCGCCGGCTACACTCAGAGGCGATGATAGCATGTGCACTGGGTTTCAAAACGACGGCTGACTCAGACAACCTCTATGTGGGCAGACCAGACGACCGGGCCTCCACAATACAGCCATGAAATTTCTACCATGCAGTGAAAAAATTGGTTTGTGTGCGTGTTTATACAGCCTAGAACTTGGTCTGCCTCACAGGGGCGACGAGTCTCCCAGCTGTAGATGAGGAATTTAGCCAGTGCGGTACAGCCGCTAACCTGGGGTCTTTAACGTGCATCACGCAGTAGTGATACAAGACCGCACGCCGGTACGATGCTCATCCAGATCGAAACGGGCAGGGGTGGGGCTCGAACCCAGGATCCCTGGGTTCTGCAGCGCGAGCTTTCGCTCCACGTGCTCCGAGCTACTGTGCGCTAGACCACTCGGCCAGCGATCCCCCTGCCATGCAGTGCGTGCGAAGGACGAAAGCACGTCTGGAACACTGGTGGAAGAAAATTTAGAACAGAAGTTTACAGGTTTTTTGGCTAGGGCACGAAGACCCTTCGAGCTCGCCCGGTATAAAGGGAAAAGCCGCATCATCATCATCACGGGACAGCGGGCAGGAAAAAAAAGAGGCCAGAGAGGGCGGCCAAGATGGCGTAACGCCTGTATCAAAATCAATCGTATCAATAAACACGTTCTATCTTGACGTATGAATGTTCGACCGCGGAAACATGACAATTATGTCATATGTATATGAAATGACCTGCTATACAAGAATGCATTAACACATACTATTAAACTAGGTGCTGAGAGACCACGCTGAACCCTGAAGTCGCTCTCGACTATAGAGCTCTCGACCGGTCAACGCTCCGGCTCAGCCGATCTATGGGCTCAGCTGAGGCCAGCCTAGGCCAGCCGCTGGCCCGCTGCAATCTTTTCTGTTACGTCACGTATTTGGTTTGGTCACCGTGAGGAGTCGGAGTCTGAGGAGTAGTCACTTCCAACGTTACAATAGATTACATTATAACGTTGGCCACTTCGGTCACTTCCAACTTCCAACGTTGGTCACTTCCAAGTACAGACGGGAATCCCGGTTTACCCCTCTACCTCGTTGTGTACAGTACGGATACAACTGATAATAATTTTAACAAATACTTCATGATTATTTACGCAACCACGTTAATTGTTTCACGGATTATTTGAATGAGAATTTCGCTCAGAAATGTAAAGAGGTGAGAGAACCATGGTTTAATTTATGTCCACCAGATGACGCGCAAAATTACCCAATTTCACAACTTTTTCACTACGATGCTTTACATCCATTTAAAAGTGAACGTTTTAGCTTTAGTTTCGTATATATTAAAACAAAACCAAAGTTTATTTAATGTATTTCACGTAATTTATATATTAAAACAAAAATTGAGTTATATAAACACTTTACTTATTGTAGTCATCACTATAACAAAATTACCGCATATTGTTTCCTAGCCGTGACTCATGGTTTCAGTTTACCGCCTCCAGGTAGCGCGATGTGTCCAGCCGTTTGCGGAAGTCTCTGCGAGGCGAGCGAGGCTTTTCACCCACGAGCGGAAAAGCAAAAAAAAGAGCAATGTGTTTTGAAGTCTACTGACTGCAGTAACAGCTTGGGTGTGCGATTTTATTAAGGGCCCCACTCTCCCTTTCAAGCAAACAAGGTATGGTTATTTGCGGGTGCGCACGGTTGGTGTGAACTTGGAATGTGGGAAGTGTCGTAGCGTGCGGCTCTCACCCATCTCCTACGTGATACCTTCGGTGAACGCCGAGAATCTGCAAGGACACTCGCAACTACACGTCATTGTAAGCGACGGCCGTGGTCTGTGTGAAGTAAAGTGCCCCTGTGATCGGCAATGTGGTGGACGACGGCCGTTTTGGTGGTGGAATAACCGTTTCGCCGCTCTTGTTGCGTTTTTAAGTTTCTGGCCGTTCTGCTGGTGGTGGTGTTAGGTTGTGCGTTGAAGTTGGTGCGTGTTGCAAGTATGACTTTTCCTGGGATGATCACAAGTTCGGTATGGAGGTGAAGTCAACCGCTCTAGTGCTCATCGCCCTGCTCTTAGGGTGAGTGCCTTCTTGATTGCTTTTTCTTCACTTCCGTTTCTACGTCATCTCGTTTCGATCGTGAATCTAATGCGCACGCGATGTCTTGTGTTACCGCTCAGAGGCTGACTCGGTTCCTCATTTTAAAGAGTCATAGGGGTTGGTTCGTTGAATGGACGCATTCTTGGTCTGTTTTCAAATGCTGGCAAGAAGGGCGAGTTCACTGGCCGAACGAATTGTCATTTGAAATGTTGTGCGCAGGATTTGAGGCTGATTACGGATACAGGCCGAAACGGTGTATTCGTATGTGATACGTGAGCTTTGGCCGAACAAAACCGTTGAGGGATTTTCCCCGTCTTTTAAATCCTCAATAGGTCTTTGCATTAGTTTTCGTTTTATTTCTTTTGGTCGATCCATTTACAAGAAGTGCCAAGATTAAATTCATAATTTCAAGAACGTTGGCGTAGTAACTAAATTGGGATAATAAGATACAAATAAAGCGTAACCGGATTAAAGTGGTTCAGGACGGGCCAAAATAAATTGTTATTACTTTTTCTTTTTTGCCTTGCTTTTATTGGTGTTAATGAAGGTGCGATAATAATTGCAGTGTTTGCGGTCGAAAGCGTGTTGCAGGACGCGGAGTAGATCACGGCGCCGTCGCTTCTTTTTTTGTTTGTTTGTTTTGTTTTTCGAGGTCAGCTCGAGAAAATAAGAGCGTGCTTTCTTTTTATCTTCAGTCGTTTTCTTAGCCAGTGTAAGGTCACGGCGGGTTTTCGATCTTGCCCCACATGTCTACTGCCAATCGAAATATATATATATATATATATTTTTTTTTTTTTACGGCGCCACTCAGTTTTTTGTTTGTTCATTTTTTGTTGTTTTAAACCTTTCCCGGGTCCTCCAAAGTTTCCAGTCGGAGCTGTTCAACAACGGTCGGATGAAGGTTTTCCCTTGGCATAATTCCTTCATTTTTTCTTGATTTTTTTTTTCTACTGACATAAGATTATCTTTTCTGTTTTCCCCCTTCGGTAAATCAATTTTTAAAAGGGTTATATCTATTTAATTGCATCGCGTTGTTTTATCATTTCCGGTGGCCCAGCGGGCTAGCGCACACCAGCTCGGAGCACGCTGAGGGAAAGCTGCGCTGCAGAAACCAGGGATTCTGGGTTCAATACCCACCCCTTCCCGTTCTGATCTGAATGAGCATCGTACCGGCGTGCGGTCGTGTATCACTACTGCGAGGTGCACCCCAGGCTAGCGTTTGTACTGAACTGGCTAAATTGCTCAAACACAGATGAGAGACAAATCGCCCCTTGAGAGAAAGTTTAGGCTGTGTAAACATACACACAACACAATTAATTATAAGCTATCTAAATTATTTGTTTACCAAAATTCAAAATCTTTGTGTAGAAGCCGAGCAACATAGTCCATAAGTCGAACTTCCTCGTACTTTGCAAAAAGTGCAAAGGTTCGCCGAACCAATCAGAAGTTTGCGACACCCCTAGTCAACACATTGCTTTGTATATCTTCTCAGCACATCATCACACATACACAGGGTTGCAAAAGATTATTCCGAATTCAACCTAACATCAGTTACTCACACCAATATGTACCTGATGTACCAATTTAAAAATATGCCTGGTAGGTACAGATACAGTCACTTCCTGAATATTTTTTTTTTCATGCCACAAATATTTTGTTTCTCTAAAATTTACGATCAAGAATCAATTTCATAATACTTATTGTGTGGCTAATGTCCTATTAAGACGGAAACTTGGAAGGGTTGCGGGGCACAAAATATTGCACCTTTAGAAGCAATCATTGTCAGCTACATAGATGGAGAAGTAGAGCACAATTCAGGAGATGCTTCTTGTAAACAGTTTTCTCAAAGGGAGTGTCCTTTATCCTCTTTCTGGCGAGTCTGCTCACACCATCCACATATTATTTCTACAAGGACACTGTATAACAGGCATTTCACACCAAGTGCATTTTGATTGTTTGCTGCACCATGCTTGGGAGGTGATGCGCTTGTTAGGAAATGTTTGGGCCATGGGGCCTAAATATGATGTCTCTGCTCAAAGCTTTCCTGTGCAGGAGTGAGTTCTTCCTTGTTTTGCTGAATATATCAACTTGTCCTAATACCATGTTACTAGAAAAACTATACAAGGCCAACTTCCAAGGGCTAAAAATACATAGGTTTATGCCCTACGCATGCACACAAGTATCTGGTTACTGATCTAGTTATGTTTGTGCCTTGGTCCTTTACAGCCCTGCACACACAGCATCGTTAAAATGTTTACATATACTTTTTTGCCCTGTTATCCCTTGTAGGCTGAATAAGTTACTCTTCCAAGTTAATCTAAGTACTTTACAAAAGCCATTGCATTTGCTTACAAATGGTGTATAGCTATGATCATAGTTACAGAAGAGGGTTCAGTTTCCAACTCGAAAAGGATGTTGGCACAGTTCGGATGTTGTGCACTCGGCTCACGCCAGATTTTGAAGCACTCATATTGATAGTAATTCAGTGTGAATGTGCATGTTGGCCAAGATAAGATTGAGGAGAAAAAGAACTGTAATTGAGCAAAGTTACAGTTCGTTGCAATTACCGATTGCTACTTGGGAATCGAGTTTACAAACCTGGAAAACCGGGAATCGTCGGAGAACCTGGCGAGTTTGAAAAGTCAAGGAATTTTCGCTCCAATCAGCATTGGACAGGGAAATTGAGCTTTCCTTTCTCAAAGGGACAGCAAGTGACAGCTACGGACGTTTGTGTGGAGAAGATGCCCAGTAGAAAAAAGGAATTGGAAGAAGCAAAATTGAAAAGGACTAAGGCCAACAGGACTGACCTTTAGGGAAACATACTGCGCGGCCCATGTGAAAAGAGCTTCAAGATAAGAAAGACTTCTGGATTAGGCGGAGTCACATGCCTCTGTTATCCAGAGTGACACACTCTCTGAAGTAGAGAAACAAAAAATGAAAGACGTTTGCAATTCTCTGTAATGCCGAATTAGAGTGCAGCTCTTAAGGAGGAGAAGGGGAGGGTTTGGAGGGGAGGGTATGCCCTTCCTCCCCTTCCCATTGAGCAGGGAAATTTTCTGCTAAACTTAGCGGGGATTTTTTTCAGCTATATTTAGAGGGGAATTTTTTCCGCTAAATTTAGCGGGGAAAACTTTTTCCACTAAATTTAGTGGGAAAACTGTTCCGCTAAATTTAGTGGGGAATTTTTTTCGCTAAATTAACCGGGGAAGTTATTCCGCTAAATTTAGCGCTGAAGTTTTTCCGCTAGATTTAGCGGGGAAATTTTTCCACTAAATAAAGTAGGAAAGTTTTTCCACTATATTTAGCGCAAATTATTCCTTTTACCTACGTTACTTTCAAAACATAAATATCACAATCAAATGTACAACGTAGCTTTCCTCAAATTTTCCGTGAATATTCAAGAAATATTTTCAGTAGACATTTGAAATATTTTTAGTTGAGAACTCTCCAAGTGCTTGAAATTCTCCGTGTGTGACATAAGACATGCTTCTTTTCGTGTTTTCCACAATTGAGCGGAAGACGGGGACGAATTGGAGATATTGCAGATGGTGTCGTTGTCGAAGGTTTATTTGGCAGAAATTAGTTTTAAACTGTGCACATCTAAATATTTGTACAAGTTTGGGATTAAGACATCATTGACGTGCGGTGGAGCTCTCAAGTCCATACGAAAAATCGAACTCTTTCTCTCGCAAATCTCCGGCTTCTGTAGACGTTTCCCTTCTTTACCTCTGGCCAGAAAAGGCCAATCACTTTAAACCTGACTGGTGCCACGTGACGAACTTCCGCCCCATAATCGGCTGGCAGACAACACAAGCATACGCCGAGCCCTCAACGACCACTACAAACCAGTGTCGGAACAAAATATTTTTGTTTGCTTTGTTCTGGTTTCAGTTTTGTTCCATAGAATAAAAAAAAAAAAAAAAAAAAAAGTAAAGGCTCGTTCACACCCTTTTGCGACTTCTTAACACTAAGCGCCTTTGCAACTCTTAATATCTCTTACGACGAGAGGGCAGACTGGCGCCATCTATTGGGTAGCAGTGGGAACGTGTTGGTCCCGCATATTTTCTATTTCTCTCGCACATCACTCTTTCTTTCTTAGCTCGAAAAACTTGTGTCAATGATATAAACGAACATTTATTATAAGTAGTACGTATTTCTGACCTCGCAAATACCGTCAGACCTTCGCTGTAGTGAAATGCAGTTTCAGGGTTACCGCATAAATGGCGCCAGCGTGTCAGTGTGTTTTCCCGGCTTAATTAAAGAAGTTTTAAAACGCTCGGTTCTAAGGAGTCGCAAGTATGTGAACCAGCCTTTACGTTCAGATTCTGCTCCGTAACAAAGAAACCTGTTCGTGTGCAAAAGAAAATCAAAACCACAATTAAAGAAAACAAAAGGTAGGTCATTAAAAAAGTTATAACAGGTGTGCTATTATTGCAACGATAGAAAATGAAAGAATCGGGGTAAAAGACACCGCGAGGAAGAACGGCCCGAGGCACTGAGCACGATCTCAGAAGCAGCACATCCTCAAGTGTACTCGGTCAAGTGCGAGACCTCTGTTCGGATCAAATAAACTTGAGCGCCGAGAATGACTGCTCTACGCTGACCTGTGTAGATGACACACCAAGGGCTACTTGCGCTAAAGCGTGATCTTCCGATTGTCATTCCTTTCGTTCTTCCCAAAATTTCGACACATTCATGGTTCTTCGATGGCATGGCTCTTTGAGCATTTCGAGCTATGTGTTATTGGCCTAGCTCACTCGTCAAATGAAAATGCGCGCCTGCCTCAACTTTTCTTTTCTTTCTTTTTCTTGATGAACACTTTGGGGGCATTTTTCGGTTCCTCTGGGGGCCAGAAGCTCTTGAACCGAAAACTGCTGAGTCAGTATTTTCGGTTTCGCTCAGGAACAAAATATAAAATAACGTTTCGATTACGTTTTCGTTCCGCCTATTGATGTCGTTATTCTCAATATTGTTTTCGT